CGATGAAAACTTATAAATTTCTCAAAATATCAATCAATCTCTATAACGAGACATGGATTCCATCAACTAACTTATTATTTCACCAATATATATTATTATTATCCAACTTACCAGACATATTGATCCATCTCAGAATCTCACCTTTTAATAAATCAAAACGATAATTAATATATACAGATCATAATAGTTATATCAGGATTAAAAATATAAGTACATTTAATAGTTTAGAGAATATGTTTTTTCAGTCAGTCTAAAACAACTATCTCTACTCGGTCCCGTTCAATACATACAAAATGTACTAGTATAAGAAGTTGGAACTATACCGTTCCCATAATCAAGATAAATTACATATAATCTTGTGCTACAATCGTACCGATGGCATGTCCAATTTCCATCCTAGATTGTGAACAAAAAACTTTATACTTATAAGAACCGATGATTTAATTCTGTGTATAAGCTAAAACTCTACACACTAAATCATCTACTATATAAGTAAACAGACACCATAAACGAATATATGATCTATTAAAATTGAGCAAATATTTATTCTATAATAAAAATTATTTCTTAACACTTGGTTAATAGTATATATCCCAACACTTTTCACATTCTATCGTTCTCAGTTCTGAAAAGAAGAGGTCTCCTTTTAAAAGGAGAGGTTTGAACTGTTACAACTTCTTGATTGTTCCCTCTTCTTTTCAAAAACTAATCTTATCCATTTATTTAATTCTTTTCTTAAGAAATTAAATAAAACGGATCAGGTTGGATAAAATCGGATTGGGTCGGTCCACATGGATGACCCATGACCCACCAAAAACTTACATCTCCCACTTCGCACATGGTGGACAAGACCCAAGTCAATACGACATCAACTAGACACACCATTCATACGACAAATAGTTTGTGCGCTCTATGAGCATCAAGGCTTGTCTTCAAGTTTTTACAAGCCCTACATAGGAATCCAATGACATGTAGGAAGAATTCACTACAATTTTTAGGACACTATTACTTAAAATATCCTAGACTTCATTCACTACTTTAGTAGTTACTTATTCGATCCCTCATCCTCTTAAAGAGGTTAACTCGAGTTTATGTTTAACTTTATATACAAAATTACACTCAATGCCATTATGTTTAGTACAATAGTGGCTTGTGTATACAAGTTTATTCTTAATTAATCGTCTTTCGTCTCAAATCTATCTGTTTCAATTCAATTGGTTTCCTAGACATGAACTACATTGCCGAATCATTCATGTCTATTAGTAACATGCTAAAGTAGCAACATCGATTGAAACTTCAAGAAATAGCAAAAGGTCAAAGGGTATTTCTTTAAAAGGTCATTTTAACTTTTTAGGGTCTCACACAATGAATAAGTTATAAGATATAGTTGCACTCATTTGAAGTCTATTTAGCTGAATAATTAGTGTCCTCAATGCCTAATTTTTTCCTATTCTAGTGATATATTGATGATTTGTAGTTATGAAGGCTAATGGAAAAGGCAAGGACGAATGTTTGAAAGAATGACAAAAAATGCGAAAAGAAGTGCAAACTACACAATGATGATCGCCAAACAAAAGGGGAAGGTATCCTAGTGAGCACAATCTCGCCCAAAATGACAATGCACGACACTTGTGTTTATCAAAATAGGTCAGCGAACTCCAACATAGAAGGTGATGGGCCGAAAGAGAAAGGCGACCTTGCTGATCGTCACTGAAAATGACAGTGCAAGCAGAAAAATTAAATGTTTAAAATCAAACCAATGTGGTATTCGGTGATTTGCTGAACGTGAAAGGTAAACTCAAATGATTTCATTGACTAAGGTTCAAACACCTAAAACCTAGATCATGAAAAGGTTAGCTGAAGCACAAGTGCTGATTCTTCGAACGAGCTCAGCGAACCTGAATAAAGTCACCGAATGAGACACGAATTGAGTTTTTGGTGACAACTTTGGAAAACTATAAATACCCCAATGGAGAGAGAAAATAAGAGTTCAACATTTCAGTTAGAAGACTGGTTTTGAGAGTTTAAACTTAGAGAGAGAAACTTTACATTGTGAAGAATACTTTCTAGCTTATGTGGTTTTTCAACTTTTAATCTTCAAAATTGATAAATTGAAGTTGAATCCATTTACTTGTAATTGCTTGATCTCATGTTACCCATGGTTGTTTTCATGGAAAGTACAATCTCTTTACTTTTTATGATGGGTGGCTAAAACCCCAAGATCTAAAGGTGCAATTATGGAGTTAGGTGTTGATTTAATGTAGTGGGTATTGTACTATGCTTTGTTTCGTTGTTGTTCACACATGAATTTGTGCTAATTAGCGTGGGGTTAATTTATGGGTTAATGTTGCAAATTTAATTCCAACTTCTGATCTCCGGTCGATGCTCGAAAGAGATTGTATGAAGTGGGTAATTAGTCCAATACTAGAAATTTAGGTTTGATGTGTATAACTTGCTTGAAAATAGAGGTTATGGGTCGGATCTATTTACCCTATTTCTGCATTAAAAGAGAGAATAGAGTAAGGTATTGGGTTGTTTAGATTGACATATAGATGAGACCAAAATGAGATTCTATGCATAGATGCTTTGAGATCGAAAGATGATTAGTGTCATTGAAGATTACCTAGTCTATTCATGGATGTTCATCACTATATAGCAACACAAGTACCCCTATGTGGCATCAATTTCCAATCCCCAAACCCCTAGATTTCTTGTTAATTCTTGGAATTTCCATACTTTTAGTTTTAATTGTGACAATTGATAACCAAATCTTTTTATTAAATTGGTGGAATCATCCACCTACTTTTTCTTATTATTACAAATAATCGATTTTACAATACAAATTTCTTGATAGAAATTCTCTACGACATACTATTCCATGTGGGATTCGACCCCAACTCTTCTTTGGGTTTTTATTGACTACGACCTCTGTTCCTTCTAATTGGTTTTTGATGTAACTCAAACCGAACTACGAATAAAAGTGCGGAAATTAAAGACAAGAATTAAAGATAGATATATAGACACACAAAGAGGAAACAAAAAGCAACCAAAGGGTATATTAAACCCTAAGACCTCGATTTGTTAATCCTACAATAGCACCTAACTCTTATGAAGACCTCGAGGGAATTAAATTCACCTCGCAACCCACGTTTCTATGAAACGATCAACAAAATCTTGCACCAAGCTCTCAATACTCATACAAGAGTTTAAAGTTCAATATTTAAAATAGTCTCCCCTAAAATGAGACCCAAACTAGGTATTTATAGTTTTAGGCATTTATTACAAAAGATGCCCAAAAGTGGCCCGAATGGATTTTGGGCGAGTTGGGTTGGGCTCAACTAGTGGGCTCAGCGAGTCCCCCATTGATTCAGTGATGGTTCCCGCTCCTGTAAGTGTTTTGTAACTATATGCGAGCTGGGGTTCTCGCCAAAGTCCATTGGGATAGTCGCCAAATGGACCCTGCTGCTCGCCTAAAGTGACAACTTCCGTTTTCTTCCTTGCACTTCCCCATGCGATCTTCCATGCATGGGAACCTCTCATTATCAACAATACAAGCTTAACAACCCCTAGCTTCATGAGCAATCCTTGTATTTATTGGGGGGTCCTGAGCTTGGCCTCGAGAGAGTAGCCTTGGTGTAATCCGAATTACATCATTATCTCCTTCTTGAAAAGGATTTGTTGTCGAATCCAAACCTTGCAAAACCATGTAAAGGACAAACAACAAACATATCCTCATAACATGAGGGTTAGTACAATGGTTGGCATAAAAATTATTAAGCCAAGAAGATTCACGCTCAAGGAACAACCAAGCATCCTCTATTATCATGGCTATTAAGCCCATAGATGGAGAACAAGGAAATTGGCTATTCTACACGTCAAAAGGGTAATACCGCCCGAAATATGACACTTCTGCAAGCTCAAACACTCCTAAACATTCACAGGGTCAAAATGATAACAAGTCCACATGATTGGGTCATACAAACAGGTATATATCTCAATGATACCCGACCTAAATGCAATGCACTTCTAACACAAACAAAAGACTCATCATATGCAAAGAGTTAGTAAATAAAAAGGTTTAGAAAACTACCCTTCCCCCTACATAACATAGGCCCCTCAAAGGACTGTAAACCTTCAGGAAGGGCTTTCCCTCATAGGGAAAGATGTCAACAAATTCAGCCAAATTATCCTGTCATCTCAACCAAGCATCACTACACAAGGGCAATAATTCAACTCATTGCCGGGGTCAAATGGAAAGGAAATCCATGAACATGGATCAAGTACACCCCTTTTTTCCCTATTGGCACTCCTATCTCCAAAAAACATACTCCACTCAAAAGCGTGAGCATCATCATATGAAAACAAGTAATGGAGAAAGGTGTCACATAAATGAACTTCAATCAAGGTGTTCTCAAGTTTAGCCTCCACTTTAGATACTAGAGAATCACAACTTATACGAAGCATTGGAACACACAAGGAAGAAGTAACAATTAAAATATAAGCATCCCTTTTCATCTTAACACTACCCTTTCCAATAAATGTACTATCATCTTTACAAAAAAGGTTTCCATCTTCGGAAAGTGTGTCATCACACCATAGTAGATTCTTAAACAATTTGACAACATTTGTGAGATTTCCATCTTTGGAAAGTGTGTCATCACACCATAGTGGATTCTTAAACAATTTAACAAACAAAAATGTCACATTGGAAACATCATCACATTTATGACGTGGAGTAAAATGAGCCATCTTTGAAAACACACATGACCATTGAGCTCATCAATCATATCATTGAATCTAGGGATAGGATGACGATTCTTTACCGTGACTTTGTTACAGGCCCGACAATCAAAACACATGCGCCATGTTCCATCTTTCTTTGGAACCAAGAGAACAGGAATGGCACACAAACTTGTACTTTCTCTAACATAGCCCTTAATGAGGAGTTCCTCAACTTGCCTTTGTAGCTCTTTGATATCCTCTGGATCACTTTGATAAGCCTATTTGTTTGGCCATAATGAGCCCGACATGAAATCAATTTGGTGCTCAATTCCCCAAAGAGGGGGCAATCCACTTGGGAGTCCCTTTAGAAAGACATCATCATAATCCTGCAAAAGAAAGGAAATAGAATGGGGAAGAGAAGAATGAAATTGGTTAGTTAGCAACACATGATCCCTATGTGTGATAAGGATCAATGAACCTTTGGCATCCACTTTCTCCCTTATCTCTTTATACTTAGCCAACAAAACTTGGGCATTTGCTTTCAACTTCCTCCTTTCTTCTTCTTCATGGACCTCGACCTCCACATGTCCCTCCCACTCCTTCATTTTCTCCCTCAACTCACTCATCTTTTGATACATTTCATTGACTTGAGATGGTGACATAGGATGAAGGACATATTTACAACAATTCGACACAAGTGAATATGTGTTGGTTCTCCCATCATGTATGGTTGAACGACCATGTTGCCAAGGTCTCTCGAGTAGTACATGCCAAGCTTTCATTGGGATCACATCACATAGGATTGCATCTTGGTACTTCCCAATTTTGAACTTGATCAACACTTGTCTATGAACCCTCAATTCTCCACACTCACTCAACCATTGAAGTTTGTAAGGTTTAATAAGCTTAGTGGTAGAAGGCTTCAAGAAATCCAATAAAGCGGTGCTAGCAACGTTTGCAATACTTCCACTATCAATGATCAAGGAACATACATTACCCTGGATGAGGCTCTTGGAATGGAAAATATTCTCTCTTTGACTTGTATTATCCACCGCCTTGCTAATCATAGCTCGCTTTACCACATACATTGGTACGGTCAACTCTCCTTTTCGGGGCCAAACCTCTTCCATTGTGGACTTCCTCATCAAACTATCTGGCACATCGACATCTCTCTGATGCTTATCGTGACCAATGACACTAACCTACAATTTGAGTGTCTATGATCGTCGATAATATAGTAACCCAACCAAGGGTTGGGGTCGCGTCCCAAGGGAGTGGTAGTGAAAATAGTAGTTAGGCTAGAATTTCATTCTAGTTAGCTGTAGTTTGAGAAATTATAGAATAAAAACAAAGTAAATTCAAGTGAGTGACACCGAAGTGTCAAATATCAATGGGGGTTTGTCACAAGTATAGCTAAAACAACAAAAATAAAGAGAAAATTCAAGTATGGGGAGAAGTTCTTGGGGTGTGACCGCAATATATATTGATATAAATCGTTGGGTACATGCTTTCGATAGGAAATTTGCAAGATAATAGTGACTAGGCTAAGCTTTAGATGGAAATAAGTTCCCTCTCGGGGAAATTACCCCGTTTCAAATGGGTTCCTCTCGGACACCCATTTGCCGCATGAAGGCCAGCCTACGCCTTACCCCACTCACTCTCTCGAGCTGAGTGTTAGGATATGGGACTAGGGCTCACCCTCTCGAGCTGAACCTCATGTCGACCCACTCCTTAGGCCATCAGTCTAGCGGTCTTGGTTTCGCGACCTCTCTCTCGAGCAAGCCAAAAACACATGGGTGGTTTTGTATTTGCAACTACAAACCCATTAAATTAGACCACAACCACTAGGTGAAATCACCATTAAAATGCATCTAACCTATCAGCAAGCAAGACCAAACAATAATATCAACACATATTTGCTAAATCACACCCCAAGAATGGGGTTTTTAGCCACACATCAAGAAATAAGAAATTATACCTAAAATGATAGAGAAATCAAATGGGTATAAGAAATTAAACCTTGATTTAAGCAAAGGAAGAAGAATAGAGAAGACCCATTTCCAATTTGGGGAAGATGAACTCCTTTCTTCAAGTCTCCCACAAAACCCTCTCCAAACTTGACAGAAAATATGAAAGATAAAAGTGAAAAATTACAATAATTTTTAGATCTCACAAAATAACAACTAAAACTAGTATTTATAGCTTTCAGATTTAGTGTTGCGGTGGATCATTCAGTGAGGTAAGTGGGAATCGCCTATCGACCCAGCGATTCGCCCATCATCTAGTTCATCACCTTCTGTGCTTGCCTACAACATCTCTGCATCCTGGACCATTGGGAGATATTGTACTGCTTTGCAGAACTGTTTGGCGACATGCCGACTGCTCATTTTTATCGCCGATTTGATCCTCTTCCTGCAGGGCTCCGCGTACTGGAACAAAGGGCAAAGTACGTCCCTTCGGCGATTCGCCAAGTGTGCTTGGCGATGCTTAGGCTTCAGTTTCTTCATTTTTTTAAGCCTTTTTGTTTCTTTTTGCGCCTAAGTATCCATGCTTCCACTCAAACTTCAAATACCTGAAACTTAAGAGTTTTTATCAGATATTGGGATAAAAGAAGCATTTGAGGACACTAATTCTATTAAAATATGGCCCTAAATGAGTCCAATTTGTGGACTCATCACTCTCCCCTAACATGGGTTTTGTTCCTCACCTTCAACCCTTTTTGGGTTTTCCTCTTCACAATCCTCTTCTTGATTGATTGGTGTTGGATTACACGCTTGATGGAAAGTTCCGGCTGTGATAGTAGGATTAAGTCGGCAAAGTTGAAGTTCAGCTCGCCAACTTGAAGTTTGAATCACCAAAATTTACAGAATGTTGAGGCAAGTTGGTGATCTGGGTGGAAGTTCGGCGATGCACCGAGTGGACTTTGGCGATCAAAGTTGTGCTCGCCGAAAGTTTCAGTATCTGCTCCTGAAGACCTCCGAATTTGTGCTCTTGTGGTCCTCCTTATACCTTTTCCTTTAGTCCTTACCCATTTTAGTAAATTTCCTTTTTTATAAACACTTATCCACTTTCTCTTTCTTCCTTTTGGGATTTTACTCCTTTTTTTTGAAGATTATTTCTCCTTGAAGATTTGAATATCCCTCAAGAACACTAAGACCAAGATGAAGACCCAAAATTAAACCCTTAATAATTTTAGCTCAGAATTTCACGAAATTTGAGATACAAGCTCCCCTTGATGTGGGAAGCAAACCCTAATACTTTTTGGCCTTCAATTCCTTGCCAAAAACTTTAGATTTCAAAACCCATTTCATCTTCTTCAAGCTCCGTCAGCCAACAATGGTGGATTCTTCAATCCTACTCCAAACTTCACCAAATCTCATATTTAGACTCAAGTAATGCTAGGGAACACTAATATAGCTTTGGAAACTTCAAACAAGACTCAAATCAACAAAATATTTTTGGGGTTTTCTTGTAAAACGTTTTTGACTCTTTTTTTTTTTGTAACAAATCCAAGACTAAAAATGCAGAAATTAAGGAGAAGAATTAAAGATAGATAGATAGACACACAAAGAGGAAACAAAAATAAACCAAAGGGTACATTAAACCCTAAGACATCGTTTCGTTAATCCTATAATAGCACTTAACTCTTATGAAGACCTCGAAGGAATTAAATTCACCTCGCAACCCACGTTTCTAAGCAACGATCAACAAAAGCTTGCACCAAGCTCTAGCCACTCATACAAGAGTTCAAAGTTCAATATTCAAAATAATCTCCCCTAAAATGAGACCCAAACTAGGTATTTATAGTTTTAGGCATTTATTACAAAAGAGGCCTAAAGGTGGCTGGAAATGGACATTGGGCAAGCTGGGTCGGGCTCCCCTAGTGGGCTCGGTGAGTCACCCATTGACTCGGCGATGGTTCCTGCTGTTGGAAGTGTTCTGTAACTTTAGGTGATCTGGGGTCCTTGCCAAAGTTCATTGATGTAATTCTCAAAATGAACTACGAATACAAATGCAAAAATTAAGGAGAAGAATTAAAGATAGATAGATAGACACACAATGAGGAAAAAAAAGCAACTAAAGGGTATATTAAACCCTAAGACCTCGATTCATTAATCCTACAATAGCACTTAACTCTTATTAAGACCTCGAGGGAATTGAATTCACCTCGCAATCCACGTTTCTAAGAAATGATCAACAAAAGCTTTCACCAAGCTCTCAACACTCATACAAGAGTTCAAAGTTCAATATTCAAAACAGTCTCCTCTAAAATGAGACCCAAACTAGGTATTTATAGTTTTTGGCATTTATTACAAAAAAAGCCTAAAGGTGGCCCGAAATGGACACTTGGTGAGCTGGGTCGGGTTCGCCTAGTAGGCTCGGCGAGTCACCCATTGATTCGACGATAATTCCTGCTCCTGGAAGTGTTCTGTAAATTTAGGCGAGCTGGGTCCTCGCCAAAGTCCATTGGGTGAGTCGCCGAATGGACCCTACTGCTCGCCTAAAGTGGCAGCTTCCATCTTCTTTCCTGCACTTCCCTAAGCGATCTTTCATGCATGGGAACCTCTCCATGTCATCAATATAGGCTCAAGAACCCCTAGTTTCATGAGCAATCCTTGCATTCCTTGGGGATCCCGAGCTTGGATTAGAGTGAGCGGCCTTGATGCAATCCGAATTGCATCAATTTTAAAGAGGACATTTGAGAATTATAAAAAATGGTGCTGGTGGTTGAGAATTATAATTGACAAATTAGTTTGTAATTTTGTTTAGTTATAGTAGATTTTTGTTTTGTGTTGTAGTTGGCTGATTTGCACCATGAAAGTGACAATGATAGTCACAATGGTCAAAATGATAACATGGTGATTTGAATCATATACATCTGAATATTGTTCAAACCACGGGAGCCATCTAGATACCTCCCATAGCCCGGAGGGCTGCGTTTCACATAACTGAAACAATGCTACGATTGCTTCAACTGAAAGGAAATTTTGGTGAATTAGCTCATGAGGATCCCCATGAACTCCTTAGGAACTTTGTAGAGGTAGGTGGACCATTTCTGTTCAAGAATATATCCAAAGAGTTTATAAGGTTGAGGTTATTGCCGTTCTCTTTAACGGGTGAAGCTACAAGATGGTTGACAGAATTACCAAATTATTTTATCACTTTGTGGGAGGAGTTAAATGATGCTTCCTTAAAGATATTGTTTCCACCCTCAAAGATGGTTAAATTTCAAACCCAAAACTAAGATTTCAAGTGTATTGGAGGTGTGCCTCTACATGAGACTGGACTAAGGTTCCAGAAACTACTTTTGCAATATCCGACACATGTTATTCCAGACAATTTATTGTTGTAATACTTCTATTGCTGCCTTGATTCAGTCAATAAAGGTACAACTGATCAGTTAGTCCAAGGTGGATTAATGAGACAACCGTGTGATATGGCCGCTTTGTTGCTTGATGACATGATCAAAGTTAAACGAGCATGACATACTAGAGAAGACCAAGTGCCTATTCTACAACTGTGCATGAGCAGGGAACAATTTGAGAAGGACTATGAATGAGATGAAAACATGGACAAAATAATGACCCAACTCGATTTGTTGTCTAAACATTTCATGGGTGGTGGACTTAAACCCGTAAATGCAATTGGAACCAATAGTGGGCAGTGCCCGGATGATGCCAATTTTGAGGCATTATATAATGAGAAAGTTTAATATTTGGGAAATAGAATTGGGGGGGGGGGGGGGTTCTCACACCAATTATCAACGATAAGGTGAGAAGAAAGGATGGAATAAGGATAGAGATTGTGGTTGGGAATATTGGTGAGGTAGAAATCAGAGAGAGAGGGAGGTTGACAAAGATATGTACGTGCCTCCCATGATCATCAACAACCAAACTACCTAAATGGGTGTGTAGGAAACCAAACCGAGGAAATTCTTACAAATTTCTTCAATAATGTAGCACCCCGGAAAATGGTTGGTTAGCCTAGAGCCTAAGCGTGAGGTTTTGTGTAACTTTCCGGAGATGTTTAGAACTAAACTAGGATAAAAAAAGAAGAGGTAATCATCTAGGATGAAGTAAATGACCTAAAACAACGTAAGAAAAATGAAGGAAAACCATACCTACCTTTA